CACCTCAGCCTCCCAAAGGCGCGGGATTACAGGCTGAGCCACCGAGCCCGGCTTTGGCCAACATTCTTAAGTATCACCGAGCCTCCTTCTAGGCCTCAGTCTCCTGTAGAAGCTACAATGGCAGCAACATACATGTTTGGCTAGTTGTGTAACTGTCACCCCGGCCCAGGGAAGTTTCTTCACTGGGCGACTTTGTGTTTTCGGTGCCTGGCTCGATATGAGCCAGGGAAGTGCTTAATAAATGTTGCTGAATGCATGGCACAGCCTGGGTTATGGACGAAGCAACAAAGCCAGGTTAGCTCACTGAGTACAGATTCTACTGGGGACATAGGTGGAACGATATTGTGTGTGAATTACAAGTCTTGAATTACAGTTCTGGGTTCTCTGACTACACGCTCTGCCTTAGAGAATAAACCCTGGTTTCTTCAGCTTAATCAGTGAATGCTGGATTGCCGTACCATCTGTCAGGCTCTCTGCTCGGCCCCAAGTCTAACTTCAGGAATAGCAAGAAAGATAATGACTTATACCAGATGGCAATCAAGGACAAGAGCTGAATTTATTTTCTAATCACCTGTGGCAGCTTTATGAAGAAATTATGTTAGAAAACATTTTTGTAGTTTGATCAATTTTAATACCCTTACCAAGCTCTGTTTACGCTACGTTTGAAGTAAAAGTTTGGTGTGATTGACGTAGGCTTCAAGCGGAGTACTAAAAAAGTACGTTGGTTTATGTAGACATGACACTTCACCCTGGAAGTAAGGGACGTGTCAGCCCTTCCCAGCAGCAAGGGAGAGGTCCCTTGCCTGCCTTAACTCATTCCACTTCGAATGCTGACTATCCAGCCACGGCGAGATGAGAGGCCCGGAAGGCAAAGGCACAATGAATCATCACAGGCCTGGAACAGCCCGGAGGCGGCAGACACGGGGAAGGAAGCCATTCGGAACCTGTGGGCTCCTCTAAGCCTTTGGAGCTTCGCTCTTTGGCTATTACTGGCCCATTCGGAGAGGACCGGGGTCTCCCAGGACCTGCTCTGCCGCTAGACTGCAAGGAGACCCCAGGAGCCCTGAGAACGGCAGTGATCTTGAAGCACAGGGCACTCGGCCAACATAAGGCAGCTTCCCAAATGTTGTGCAAAAGAGTCGTCAGGAACATCTTGCCAGGACGCAGGGCTGGATTCAGCAGGGCCGGGGTGGGATGAGATTCCCACCTGATCCGTGCACCACACCTTGAAGACTGCACCTCAGCACTGCGGCACGTCAGAATCACCCGAAGGACCTTCTGGAACCTGCGGATGTCCAGGCCTCATCCCTTACTCATTAAATCCAGATGGAGCAAGTCTGCGGGCGCCCAGCATTAGCATTATTCTCAACGCTCTCCAAGTGATTCTTGATGGGCTCGGGGTTGAGAACAGCTGACCTGAGGGGTCAACTTGTTGTTAAGCAGGGCCTACCGCAAAGGAACAGGTTCCGGCAAGTGGCCTGGACTTAGCCCTGCGGGTCTTTTTGCTTTCAATTGTCTTGTCCCCACCCCCCCAGCAGTGCATCCTGTGCTAAAGGCAACTCACTGCCACCCCTCATCTTAACTCCTTTCAACACAGGAAGTGGACTCTTCCCTCTCTGTCTCTCCCCAGGTCCTGATCCAGGGTGACCCCTGTCAGTTCATGAGGCTGAGGTGTACTTCCTAGCCCTGTCCGGAAAAGGGCCCGGTGAGTATTATCACACCAAAAGAAAGAGGAGGAGCAAGGAGGCTGGATCGTTCAAAGCTAGAACAGTGCTTGAGATCTCCTGTGTCTAGTGATCTACTATTGCTGAAACGGTTCTTTCATCTCAGCAAAGGTGCAGGGTTTCTTCCAAAGGCATTTAACGGCAGGAACACAAACTGTAATTTTCTTTCATTATTGGATTGGACTCAAAGAATTCAACTTATGAAAGGTGACAATTCTGAATCCGGAACAGAATACGTGACGACAGACAGGTAGTTTAGCATTTTATCCTCAGAGTTTTAACCTACAAAATGGAAGGTTCTCATAAAGTATTTTAATAAATATATTAAGGCTTAAGGAAATCGCTGTTTTGAGTAGAGGGCGGTTTGCTTTCTAGCATACTAGTTTACATTCAGAATCTCTAAAAGCAAAAACGTTGACCATCTTACAATGAATGACCCAAAACATTAGCTTGCCCCAGTTTCTTTTTTCCACTCGACATATGATATTATCTTCCTTCCTCCTACATCTGACGGACGGAGAATGATATAAACGTTTGGTAGGTTGAGAGAAAGCAGTTGATGGGTATGACTGGAAATGATTACCTTTTCAGTAAAAAGCTTTCATCGAGTCACATGGACAGTTAGTAATGCAGCTTACAAATAAACAAGGCTGAACCAAGAGGCTGAACAACTCTCATCAAACAGCAAGAAAAGCTGCAGACCACAGTGAGGAAGAGAGGCAGTAAAATGTTGGCTTTATTGCATCCCAAACTGGAAGTAGGAACCCCAAAACGAAAAGGGTGCAGATAACCTACCATCCATGAGAAGTAGCTAGCTACACGTCACCACACACAAAATGCCCACTCGGGTCTTTGCAGGGATCCTCTTGCTGTGTTCTCACTATGAATCTCAGCAGGGTGCCTCAAGAGAAGGGTGTCGAGGGCACCGCCAGGCCCCCCTAGGTCACTCCAGCAGAAACCGCAGCCATCAAAGCAGACCGCCACCAGGTGTCAACCTGCAGCTCCCTGCCTACAAGTTAAACCTGGGGTGCTGGTCCCACAAGACTGAAGACCCTCCACCACGGAGGCGCTTTCTGGAAGCACAGGCTGGCAGCGTGTCCGGCAGAAAGGGCCTCCCTGCCAGTCGCCTCCCTCCAGAGGCCCTCTAGATGGACTCCAGAATCCAGTCGCCGCTGGAGAGCAGGGAGAGTGGCTGTGACAAGTCCCGAGGAGGGCCTCGGTCCCTCCTGTCGTGGAGGGAGTTCTGCTCCTGGAAGTACTCCTCGTCCTCGTCGAAGAAGCCGTTCTCCAGAGCGTACGTGCAGTCTGGGCTCGAGGCTGCCTGGCATGCACCCTTGTACTCCTGAATCGACTCGTAGAGGCTGTACAGCTGACAGAGCAAGGACATGTCCAGCTGGCGCAGGCCCACCTTGAGGGAGGGTGGGGGAGGGAAAAACAAGAAGTCAGCACTGGAGCTGAATTGCAGGTGAACGCTCAGCCGGCAGCCTACGCCTGCCAGCACATTCTCCATCCAGTGAACCATTCCAAGCATCGCTTGGACGCTTTCGACTTCCAGTTCTGAGAACACCCTAATTGTGTCATGCCCACACCTCAGACATTACTCAGCGTGTCGGGGAGGAGCACAGCTGTGGGGCAGCCAGTCCAGCCTGCAGGATTTTCCTGTCGCTCCTGAGCACACCCAGTGAAGCAACAGCAGTGCGTGTTCTGGGAGCGCCAGCTGTTTCTCTCTGGACTCCAAGAAACAAGGGTATGGTTTCCTCAGCCCGACTCAAGAGAGGCCCACATTTGCCTTCCCTGTGCTACGCTGGGATCCCAGCAGACCTGTCCTTCTCCACTCCCAGGAGCAACACACTGCACCCTGCTGGTGACAGCGGCTCACCAATCAGTGTGAGGTGCCACTCTCTGGAGCGCCCACCTCTGACCAGCTCAGGCAGCAGGCTCTCCAGGAGTGGTCGGAGAGGTCACACTCCATCCCCTCCAGACAGGGTCAATCTCATCCCAAGATGGTGGTGGGGCCCCTTCCCAGAGCAGCTGACGGAATATGAAGAAGCCTCCCAAGAGGAAGCCCCTCTGCAATTTCTCCTGGAAACGGCTTCCACGAAAGCAAGTGGCAACTGAACCAAGCACATTTATAAAAGTCACGTACGTGTTTGTCTTCAGATTCCTCCCATCCCCACCACACATCCCAGGGAAAAGAGCGCAGCCAGGACATGAAACACATCGTGGACGCCAATCCCAAGAAAGAAAGGCTAGCACACTTGCAATGCAGTACAGACCTGGGCATCTTAACCTTTAGTGTGCATGAGAACCACCCAGGGATCTTGTTCAACATGCAAACTGTGGATGGGTGTGGTGGCTCACACCTGGAATCCCAGCACTTTGAGAGATCGGGACGGGAGGATTGCTTGGGCCTAGGATTTTATGACCAGCCTGAGCAACATAGGGAGACCTGGTCTCTATCAAAAAATCAAAAAAATTAGCCAGGCTTGATGGTACACACCTGAAGTACCAGCTACCCAAGAGGCAGAAGCAGAAGGATCTGTTTGGAGGCTGCAGTGAGCCATCACCGTGCCATTGCACTCCAGCCTGCACAACAGAGTAAGACACTGGCTCAAAACAAAATAAAAAAATCAAGCAGACTCTGACGCGCCAGTGGATGGCTGTGCTTCCCAGCAGCCCTGGCAGTGCTGACCAGCCCTGTTCCACAGCCTGCTCTGAGCTGCAACAGGAAGGAACTCGGCAAGATGCCAGGAGACCTGTCTTCTGCTTCTTGGCCCCTGGTTGATGGCAAAATGGAATAATAATAACTTCCCTTATACAGCTATTGGGAGGATTACATGAAATATCCATCCATTGAAAGAAATAGTATTCAAATGCTTCTTGGGCTAAAGATGCCTGGGTACGTACACACATAAACACACGGCATTGCAGGGTTTATAGTTTTTTTTGTTTTTGAGTTGGAGTCTCACTCTGTTGCCCAGACTGGAGTGCAGTGGCCGCTCCCAGCCACCGCAGCCTCACCTGCTGGGCTCCGGCGATCCTTCCACCTCAGCCTTCCGAGTAGCCGGAATTACAGGCGCGTGCTACCACGCCCGGCTGATTTTTTGATCTATTGTAGAGATGAGGTCTCGCTGCCCAGGCGGGTCTCGAACCCGCGGGCTCAGGCCATCCGCTCACCTCAGCCTCCCAAAGGCGTGGGATGACAGGCGGAGCCACCGAGCCCGGCTGGTTTATAGTTTTTATAACTGCCACAACCACTCATTTAGCTAGCAATGCAATTTTCCACATAATTTCATTCGGTTTTCACAAAGGGAAGCTGAGACCTGGCAAAAACGGTCAGACAAGATTGGGTGTCTGACTTCAGATTATTCTTCATACCCTCCACGCACTGTAGGTATCTTTGTTTTTTTTGGTTGTTGTTGGTGGTGGTGCTTTCTTGTTTAGAGACAGAGTCTATATTGTCCAGGTTGGATTCAAACTCCTGGGCCTCCTAATTAGCTGGTACTCGGGCGCACGCCTCTCTAAACTGCCATCTGAACACTGGCTCTCTCTCTACTGCAGCCTGAATAGATCATTTAAAAAAAGAACAGAGTTGTATTACACAGCACATTTTTCTACAACGCTCAAGAGAAGGCTGCCAGATAGAGAGGTAGGTTCTGTTGTTACCACTGGGACTCCTCATGATGACGGAATTTCTAAAAGATGACTTTCTAAGAAAGAGACCTCGATCACAAGTCGGGGCCCAGTCTCCAGGCCCAGCTCTGCCATTCTCAACAGCTTTGTTGAGGTCCTCACCCTCCCCGGTCCCCTGCAATAAGGAATTTAGGTTGGATCATAGATGATTCGCTCAAACACCCTGTGACCCTGCATAGGAAAGTATCGCTTCTTGGGGCCAAACGAACTGCCAGCATCCAGAGAGTTTCCCGGGCTGTTCTCAGAGGTGGAGTGGCGTCCTGCTCTCAAAAGCACACCTTGAAGAGATGCGCGATGGCAAGCCAAGGGATGCCCAGGCCCCCAAACCAAGGCCAGACACCACCGTTGGCTCTTCGTCCCGATTCAAGTTTTGGGGGGGGGGAAGAAAGAGGGGAGGAGGATGGAGGGAGGATATCTGGCAACTGTGTCCTAAAAATTACCCAGATGATTCTAGTTGCCTAGTTCGAATGGAGAGCCAGGGTTCTCAGCATAAACGTCTTTCTGTTCCCTGAGCTACTTACAGTCATTCTCCTTAAGCACAGCATTCAGGCCAGCCAAGCAGAAGCTCACAGAATAGAGTGGCAGCTCCAGAGCCTGCCTGCCCACCGGGTTCAAATTCCGGCTCTGCCGCTCACCGGCCATGAGACTGTGGGTGGACAAACGGCTCAGCTCCTGAAAATAGCAGCTGCTGCTCTCACTGTGGCCGTCATTACTTCAACCATCTCTCTCCCCTCTGCTCGCCCGCAGACCCTCGCCCGGGGAGCGGGTGGTGGGCGGCGGGCGCAGCAAGGTTCCACAGGCTTGGAAACGCAGCTCCCAGGGCCCTCCTCTCCTCTCCCGCCCCAACACGGTACAGAAAGCAGCGCAGGTCTGCGAGAAGGAGCCACCTGGCCGCCTTTGGTCAGAAGTCGGCAGCACCATCAGCAGGATGAAGATTAACTAGTGACAAACTTGTGCAGAGAGACGAGGTCACTGGAAACTCTCAGGTGGGGAAAGACCTCGATGTCTGACCTCAAAACCCAAAAAGGAGGATTTCCAAACTTGTTCATTCCTTTTCAGACCACCCTGATTATTTTATACAAAGTCAGAATCTCCCAGCCTGTAGGTTCCAGGGCCCTTGACAGGGCCCTAGGTATGACCAGCGAGGGCACAAGCAGATCTAATTGCACTCTTTCCTAACCGCTCTTTAAATATTAGAAGGCAATTTACCTTTCACCACCCTTACGCTCTAACAAAACAAACAGGCCAGGCTCAGTGGCTCATACCTGTAATCCCAGCACTTTGAGAGCCTGGGGTGGGAAGGGCTGCTCGAACCCAGGAGTTTGTGACCAGCCTGAGGAACGCAGTGAGACCCCCATCTCTACAAAAAATCAAAGAGTTAGCTGGCACGGCAGCACATGCGTGTAGCCCCAGCTGCTCAGGAGGCTGAGGTGGAAGGATCACCTGAGCCCAGGAGGTGGAGGCTGCGGTGAGCCATGATTGTGCCACTGCACTCCAGCCTGGGCTACAGAGTGAGACTCCGACTTAAACAAACAAGCAAAAAGCTGACTTCTTCTCCCGGCTAGATGCCTCAGGTCCTTCACTATTTGAATTACGACAGTCTGGCCCACCAATCACCCAAGTCTTCTTGTCTTGCTCCTATTTCCAAGATTCCTTTATAGTATTGGATCTGAGCACAATAAGCAGACCCCAAGAGTCTGACTCAGCCAACTCAAACGTACCTATCTTTTCTAGGATTTGATACAAGGAATACTAATTTAATAAAGAAAGTCACACTCTCCCAGAGTCACACCAATATTTGCTCAAAAATCATGGAAAAGGTTCATCTGGAAACTTGGCTATTCTTCTACTGAGTCACTGACACCAGTAGAGTTGGGTACCCCAAGAACACCCTCATCTCAGGAATGAATAATGGCAAAACCCCTAAGTAGCAGTGAGCAACACGCCGTTGGAACAAGTCTGGTTTTCTTTTTTTTTTGGAATTGGAGTCTCGCTCTGTCACCCAGACTGGAGTGCAGTGGCCGCTCCCGGCCACCGCAGACTTGACCTGCTGGGCTCCAGCGATCCTTCAGCCTCAGCCTTCCAAGTAGCTGGAACTACAGGCGCGTGCTACCACACCCGGCTAATTTTTTATTTATTGTAGAAATGAGGTCTCGCCAAGTTGCCTAGGTGGGTCTCGAACCCATGGGCTCAGGCAATTCACTCACCTCGGCCTCCCAAAGCACGAGATTACAGGCTGAGCCACCGAGCCCGGCTCAAGTCTGGTTTCCACCTTTCTGGGACGGCTTGAGGTTGGCCCAGGTGAAAGCAGGAGCCGAAACCCTCTTGGTTTCAAAGGCTCCGACTTCACGTGATGTTATGCCAGCCAGACATGGGGTTCCTGGCTTTTCTCCTGCAGGTGTCGCTTCCAAAGCATTCCCAGGCCTGCCCAGGACACACACCAGGCTGGGAGTGGCGAGCAGAGGATCGTGCCAGGCCTTTCTGCACGGCGGCACCCAGATGACTCACAGAGTCGCCCGGTGGGCAGGCGAGACGCTGGCCTAGAAAGGAGGTCTGACCCACCTAGGAATACGGCACCATCCTGCACACACCCCTATTACGCAACTGAACACATGTCCACAGGTCAGGGGGATTTAACGAGGATTTAAACACACACATGCACGTGCACACACATGCCGGCTCACATTCAGCTTCTCCGCGCCGCTTCTTCCCACA